TCAGATCAGCTGTGGCATTAAATGCTCACAGGAGCATTAGATTATCATAGGAGCTTGAACCCTACCGTAAACTGCCCATGTGGGAGATCTAGGTTGCACGCTCTGTATGAGAATTTAATGCCTGATGATCTGAGTTGGAGCTGAGGCGGTGATGCTAGCACTGGGGAATGGCTGCAAATACAGATTATCATTAGCAGAGAGGTTCGACTGCACAATAAATGTAATGTGCTTGAATCATTCCAAAACCATTTCACTCCCCGCTACCCCTGTGGAAAAATTGTCTTCTATGAAACCAGTCCAAAAAGGTTAGGGACTGCTGCTTGAAAGGACGGATTAGGAAATTTATTTCTTCTTACTATTTAAAAAGAGGAATGAAAACACAATTAACTGGCACTTCCTCCTTAGCAATAGGCCTAACTTTGATTTGACTTAGCTCTTTTTGTTGTTTATAGGGAACATAGTAAAATCTCTTTTCAGATGGCTCATAAGAGCATATCAAGGGCCAGGCTCACACCTGTGATCTTAGCACTCTGGGAGGCTGAGGCAGGAGGATAGCTTGAGGTCAGAAGTTCAGGAGCAGCCTGAGCAAGAGCAAGACCCCATCTCTACTAAAAATAGAAAAAATTAGCCATAAATGGTGGTGTGCACCTGTGGTCCCAGCTACTCAGGAGGCTGAGGGAAGAGGATCACTTGAGCCCAGGAGTTTGAGGTTCCTGTGAGGTAGGCTGATGCCATGGCTCTCTAGCCCAGGCAACTTTTTCTCAAAAAAGAAAAGAAAAAAAAAAGCATATCAAGAGAGAAGTCCCTTATCCTTTAGAAGTAACAGCAAATATTTTTCTTCAGACAAAAGAGAGATTGTGCAATTGTTTTAGTGTCTCTGACTTCTTCTCATCAGTCAAACTTTCTCTTGCTTGAATTTTTAGTGTGTTTAGGTCCCTGGGAATTGATAAACGTGTTCTTTGGTAATCCCGAGCTTCAGTTTTTTTAGTTGTCTTGATACTGGTATTTGTAAGTGCTCTTTCCTCTTTCGATTCCTATAGGAATTTAAGATTGTATCATAGTTTTCTGAATCATACAGTGTTTGTGACCTGAATTTTCTTCTTCCTCTTGAGTTCCAGGAGCTCAGAAGTTGCGATTTTTTTTAATTTTTCAGGGATTGTATTGCTTCTGTTTCCACCACACATTGTAAGATCATAAATGGTTTAAATGTATCTCTTTGAAAGTACTTTTATGTTGTGTTATTGGGACAAAGGACCCTCAAAATGTTTCTTCTGAACTTCTCTATGTTAGGTAAAAGAATTGCAGACTCAGTAGAGAGTTAAGATGAACTAATAGGAACTGTATTTCAGGCACTTTCCTGGTTAGTAATTATTCACGTATGTGGCAGTTTGACCAAAGGGCAATCCTGGGCTCACTTCTAGGCTTTTAGTCCTATTTCATGAGTTGTCAAGGTCTCCAAAGAGATTATTTTTGTCCAGTTACTTTATCCTTAGTCTATTCAGGAAGTTGTCCTGTAGCACTAATTTTTTTTTCTTTTTTATGAGATTATATAATTTTCTTTTTCTTTCTTTTTAGTGAGAGACGGGGTCTCGCTTTTGCTCAGGCTGGTCTCGAACTCCTGACCTCAAGCGATCCTCCAGCCTCAGATTCCCAGAGTGCTAGTATTACAGGTGTGAACCACCGCGCCTGGCCCCTGCAGCACTCTTTTTAATGTGTACATATTTATGTCATGCACGAATGAGTGATGAGAGCTACATCTTGAGGATTGAGGATACAGGCTAGAATTTGTTCCTTCATCACTCCTTAGGGAACTTTGTGTTGTATTGAACTAGTAACTTGGGAGTTTTCTTACTGTTGAATCCTTCTGATTTTTACATCCCAGTACTCCAGGGAGGAAACTCCTTCAGCACAGGCTATAAATGTTTTTACTTCTCTCTGTATTTGGATGCATTTGGTTGTACACTCTTTTGATTGCAGCCTTTTGTGAAATGTAAATAGCCAATTATTGTTAGCCTTTTTACAATAAATACTTATTACTTTTTAAAATCTAAAAAGCAGAAAGAAAAATAGAAAACTACCTTTGAAAATTATTAAATCACCTATAATGCCACCACCCAAAGACAGTCATGGTTAGCATTTTTTATATTTCTTTTGTGTCCTTTTTTTCCAAGATATTTTAAAAAAGAAATTTGGGATCATACTGCGTATATAATTTTGTATTCTGCTTTTTTCACTTAACATGTATTTTTCACATCATTTAATATTTTAAATATAATTTTTGAATAGGTAATACATTTATCCATTTCAAAAATAAAAATAAATTAAGGAAATACTGACAAGTGTTGTTTCCATTTTTGTCTTTATTCATCAACTCCCTATAGTCCCCAGTGGATAACCATTAATCTTTTCTCTTTTTCAAATGCAGCATTATTTTTTTTAATTTATTTTTTTATTTCTGCATATTATGGGGGTACAAATGTTTAGCTTACATTGCCCTTGTCCCCCTCCCCCCAGTCAGAGCTTCAAGCATGTCCATCCCCCAGATGGTGCGCATTGCACTCATTATGTATGTATATACCCATCCCCTCCTCCCAGCATTATTATATATATTGTTTTGTACCTTGCTTTTTTACCCTCTAAGCAGTATATGTTAGACATCTTATCAGTACCCAGAGGATCTTCTTTGCCATAGATTAGTTATCCAGTCCCCTCTAGATGGACACTTGGGTTGTCCCCTGTTTTTGCTATTACCAATAAGAAAGAACTAATAATTAAAGGGAAAAAATTACGCATTTACTCTGCCTCAGTTATTAAGGAAAATTTATTCTTTACAGAAGAAAGCCAGCTAATAAATGAAGAAATGATAGAATTAGAAAATCAAAATTTTTAGTGCTCCCCCAGTTTAAAAAGTATAAGAATCATCAATGAATGCTAAACCATTAAGTAAAAAGTTGAGGAAAAACAGGATATTCACGTGGTGCCCAGTATTAGCCACAGATTGCTAATCATAAAGGGGGAGATGTACCTTTATAAAGAGAGGTCTGGCAGGGTCCAGTGGCTTGCTTCTCGAGTCCTAGCTATTAGGGAGGCTGAGGTGGGAGGTTCGCTTGAGCCCAGGAGTTCAAGGCTGCAGTGAGCTGTGATCATGCCACCATACTCCAGCCTTGCTGACAGAGTGAGACCCCTTCTCTTAAAACAAAAAAGTGGGGGAGAGGTTTGACTGTTAACATTCTCAACCAAGTGATCATATTTCACCAAATGAGCACTAATGGTGGGACAGTCTGAGAATGTGCATTACCTGATGCACTCGATCATGAGGTACTTAGATATCATCAACTGTGAAGCATTCCCACCAAAAACATTTAAACTAAATATTAACGTAATCAAGATTTTATACCTAACCTACTGTTTATAGGAAATGTAAGGGATAGAGAGGCAAGTTAAATGGCACTATGAGGAAGCAATCAAATAAGTCTAGGATATAAGACAAGTCAACTGTCCTGGTCTTTTTAAAAAGGTACTGTTGTAAATAAATAAAAAAATATAAACAAAACAAAACTTGGAGGCCGTTCTAGAATACAGGAGACGAAAGAGAGAAAATCTAAATTCGTTGCTTGAGTTTTGATTGGATTTTGGATTGTTAAAAAAAAAAAAATCAGCCTTTTTTTTTTTTTTTTGAGACGGAGTCTCACTGTGTTGCCCGGGCTAGAGAGCCGTGGCGTCATCCTAGCTCACAGCAACCCTCAAACTCCTGGGCTCAGGCAATCCTTCTGCCTCAGCCTCCCGAGTAGCTGGGACTGCAGGCATGCGCCACCATGCCCGGCTAGTTTTTTCTATGTATTTTTAGTTGTCCAATTAATTTCTATTTTTAGTAGAGACGGGGTCTCACTCTTGCTCAGGCTGGTTTCGAACTCCTGAGCTCAAATAATCCGCCCTCCTCAGCCTCCCAGAGTGCTAGGATTACAGGCGTGAGCCACCGCGCCCGGCCAAAAAATCAGCCATTAAAGACATTTTTTGGACAATTGAAATTCGGATGAGAACTGAGTATTAGATGATAATTGATGTCATAATGGTATTGTGGTTATGAAGTGGAATGTCCTTCTTCCTAGGAGATGCATAAAGAAATATGCAGGGTTAGTGTCTTGATGCCTGCCCAAAATAATAAGAAACAACCTGTATATAGCCATATCTCTATCCATGGAGATAGAGCAAATGCTACAATTAATAACATTGTACATACTTATGTATTCTTTTGAAATGCCATTTTATTGGAGTATGTATTCTACTGTATAGAAGAACCACAATTCTTTAAGCGTTGCACATGTGTGTATTTTCTGCTGGTTGACATTTTAGTAGAATTTTAATTTTATGATGAAGTTTTCTGCCTTTAATTTTATGATGAAGGCCTTCTGCCTTGTGAAGATGAAAAAAAGGACCTGATTTTTTTTTTTTTTTTTCGTCTTTTCCCTTCTCTGTCTCTTAAGTCTCTGGAACTTTAGAGGAGAAGAGAAAAAGAGAGTGAGCATAATACTCCCAAATAGTCATTATGCACTTGCTTTTAGGCAGGAGATTGAATTGAAGCTGCTCTGCATAAGAACTATACCTCAAGTAATACCCTTTTAAAATTGGTTACCTGTTCTTTAGTTTGGAGGTTGCCCAAGGACTAAGGAGAGATGCAGTCACTAGGGAAGCATAGAAGAGGAGGGCAAATTTTTAGGTCTTTTTATTGGTAGCAAAAGTTCTTCATGCCTGATAAAAGAATAACAACAGAATAACTGCTCTAGAGAATGATCTGTTCTTTAGGTATAAGGTTGAGCTACGGAGGATATGAGAGTATAAAATATTTTTGGAAAAACAATTCTGGGAGAAGGATCTTTTCTGAGAAAGTGTCATTAAATAGGAAAAGAATACTTTCCTCTTTGAGCTAGAATTGGATTTGCAATGGGAAGCTTCACTAGTTGCAGAATAGACAGGCTTTGACATTATTTTCCATTCCTTAGATTTCCATGAGGGCAACTTACAAGGACCTGAATGGCCTCGTTTTAGCTGCTTCAGTGTGTGGAGCTATTACTTGCTCCTTCATTTCCTGGACCTGGTGTGACAGTGGCTACTGAGCGCCATGAAGGTTGTCCCAGAGAAGAATGCTGTCCGGATACTCTGGGGGCGAGAACGGGGCACTCGAGCCATGGGAGCTCAGCGGCTTCTACAGGAACTGGTGGAAGATAAAACCCGGTGGATGAAATGGGAGGGCAAGGTAAGAAAAATGAGTATTTTTGACATAGGATTTGTAGGGATGATGGTAGAATGGGACCTTAGAATGGGTTAATGGCAGAGATTTGGGATATATTTATCTTGTGTGGGAGAATTGACATATCTGACCTAGGGAGTTGTTTATAAATTTGGAAGAATTTATGGGTTAGAAATATCCTTTTCTTTTAGAGCTAGACATTTTTCCTGAAGGTAATTTCGATTTATCTCTCTCAATTTGTAGCTTGATCATTGTCTCCAGCTTTTAAGCCTACACTGTGAATACTAATCTGGAATGCTTCTTGTGCTTTTGAGATAGGGTGAGACTTAGCTTATAAATAATATATTTTAACTTTTTTTTTGATCTCCTAGAGAGTAGAACTACCGGATAGTCCACGCTCTACCTTCTTGCTGGCCTTCAGCCCAGACAGGTACCTAGTACTTATCTGTAACTTAACCTTAAGATTTGTGATAGCATTGCTTTTTGTATATTTTGCTTAGCTTAATCGTCCAAGTCAGTCCCTAAAGGTTCTCTGAAGTACTGTATGAACAGAGCATTGGCAGTGTGTCAGAAAGGGAAAAAAGTAGATGAGCAGCAATAACCAGAAAAATAATAGGAATAAGCAAAGGAAACCATGCACATTGAGGAAAGTTTCTCAATAACAATCCTTTGCCTGTGATATAGGCCACCAGTGGCGTGATGGTTTTCCAAGCTGGAAAAAGTATTTTCTGAAGATGATGTATGTCATTTGGGGACAGTGTGGAGAAGCCAAAAGCTTTTGATGATCAGAATATTTCTTTTGTTTGTAGATATGCTGCCTTATGCACAAGGCTTAGTTTCTTTCATGCTGGGATGGGCACTAGTAGCAATTTTCTGCTGTCCAAAGCTGATAAAGTTGGTTACCCTCCATGTGCTTCTGAATTCACTTCTACTCTTGGATTTCCTAGGACTCTCCTGGCCTCCACCCATGTGAATCATAATATCTATATTACGGAGGTGAAGACCGGCAAGTGTGTTCACTCTCTGATTGGACACCGCCGCACTCCATGGTGTGTCACTTTTCATCCTACCATCTCAGGCCTTATTGCTTCTGGCTGCCTAGATGGTGAGGTTAGGATTTGGGATTTACATGTAAGTATTTCCTTAGGCTACCCTTTTCTTTGGTATTCTAAATGCAGAGACTGGCTTACCTCTGGGTTAAGTCTGGAAGAAAGCCTAGCTAGGTTCTTAGGCTACCTCTGACTGTGTGGTAGTCATTGCCCACTTAATTGACAGGAAGTCTGGTTCATAGTCTTTCATTCTAAGATGAACACTCTACTTATGCTTCCATCTACCGATTGTAACATAGTACAGGAGGCTTTAGGATGTGTTCAGGATGGATTTCTATTGTCTTAGAGCAAAGATTGTCCTGTACTGTGATCATGATTGTCAAAACAAGATGCTTTGTTTCCTGGTGACTGGCTAGTGGGTTGTTCTGCACCATGTTGTGCACCAAGCTTTAGTTTTCGAAGGTTTTAGAAATAGGAACTGTGCATATGCTCATTGCTTGGGGATTGTAAGTGACTTGAAGAATTGAGCTGACAGTAATGTTTGTCTGATAAATTAGTGGCACTGCCAGATCACTGATTTTCTACATCATTTTACGGAGGACATACTTAAAGTAGGCCTTATAAGTAGTCGTTTTACCTTCAGTGGACCCTTCATGAAATTGACTTTCCAGTTTGCTGGCAACTTGTAACCTGAGAATATTTGGGATTGGTTCATTCATAGGGTGGCAGTGAAAGCTGGTTCACAGATAGCAACAATGCCATTGCCTCCCTGGCTTTCCACCCTACGGCTCAGCTCCTGCTGATTGCCACTGCCAATGAGATCCACTTCTGGGATTGGAGCCGACGGGAGCCCTTTGCTGCAGTGAAAACAGCTAGTGAGATGGAACGGGTCCGGTGAGTACTCTACCCCACCAGCATTGTCTGGCACAGGACTGACATGATAGAGAACATTTACATCTGCTGTCACCTCGGAAGACAGGTTGTTTCCCTGCTCATGGCATGTTGTTAACCTCCACGGCTCCTCCTACTTTTTCAGCAGCTGTCTAATCAGCTGGGAAGCAGTTCATTTTGTTCATTTCAGCTGTCCTTTATTGGCCTCATCGTCTGGTCTCTGTAGACCTGGGTCATTAGAATCTTTTTTAGGTTCAAAGCTAACTGCATTTGGTATAGCCCTTCTTTGGGGAAACCTGAAAAGTTTGGGTGGTATTTTAGATAGCTTGGTGGGTAATTGCTCATCCTTGGTTGTCTGTGTTAATCACACTGGAACATGGAGATGTAAGCACATGTCAGATCAGCTCATTGATATTTATTTTGCCCTCAAGATCAAAACACATATTGCCTGAATTAAAGTTGATGCGTTGTCCTTCTTTGGTCCTCTTGGTTTTGCAATTGAATATAGGCTAATTTTCTACTTTCAGCTATGTCACTTGATGCTGGCACTATTCATTGTCACCAGAATCATGCTTCTTCCCAGTGTAGATGCTGTGTGACAGAAGAACTGAACCTGTGGCAGAATATGGGAACATTTTATGTTTTACTATTAGAATGGGCTCTTAGATTTTAGCAAATGTGTGTTTAATGTAGCCACTTCATGGGAAGGAAACCTAGGTGGTTTTCAAGTGAAATTTTTATTTTGTGATACGTATTTCTTTCCTCTGGCAAGAAGTACTAAGCCTTATTATTTTAATCTCTTTGAAAGTTTTAAAAGTCTAGCATGAAGTGGATGTCTGGGTAATCCCACAATTAACAGTATTGATTGCTGTAAATTAGAACACAAGTTTCTTCCTCTCAGTTAATGTAATCCCTTTATGTGTGTCTCTTGTCTGTTTTTTCTTCTATAATTTCAGTCTGGTGAGATTTGATCCACTTGGACACTACTTACTCACAGCAATTGTTAACCCATCTAATCAGCAGGTAAGTTAGTCCAGCAGTTCCAGTTCTAGCTAAACCGTGAGTTATTTTCTAAACTAGTGCTCTAATTCTGATTATATTGGATTTTAATTATCAATACCCAAGTCTTTCTTTCCAGTCAAGATTTAAAACTAGCTTCGGACTGTGTATTCAAAGTTACAGCTATAATCTTGACAGGAGAGTCAATTCTGAAACCGTCAAGTGATTGCCTCATTAGAAGTAACCCTTGTCATCAGTAGGCAGTGTTAGATAGCTTGTCACTCATATGCCTCTGGGTGGTTGACATTTTGCTTCTCGTCACTTCTTCCTTGTCATGAAGATGCCTTTTGTAAGAGAATTGGTTTGCCAGCTGCACTCATTCAGATATGTTGCTAATTGGAAGTGAATAATTTAATACCATATGATGACTCTGAATCTGAAGCCAGTTAGTTCTCAGTGTCTCAGGAGAAGAGAGTTGTTGCCTGTCTATGAATGTTGTTTTCCTTGGATGATTATCACTAGTTTTTCATGATTTACATGGAAGTTCTACCTAACTGCTTTGCTCTACCCCCTGCCTCATGCTGGTCCACGTTGCAGGGTGATGATGAACCAGAGATCCCCATAGATGGAACAGAATTATCCCACTACCGTCAGCGTGCCCTCCTGCAATCACAGCCAGTCCGCCGGACGCCTCTCCTCCACAATTTCCTGCACATGCTGTCCTCCCGCTCCTCTGGCATCCAGGTGGGAGAGCAAAGCACAGTGCAAGATTCTGCTACCCCCTCACCCCCACCGCCTCCCCCTCAGCCCTCCACGGAGCGCCCCAGGACTTCCGCTTACATCAGGCTCCGACAGCGGGTCAGTTACCCCACAGCTGAGTGCTGCCAGCACCTTGGGATCCTGTGCCTTTGCAGCCGCTGCTCTGGCACTCGAGTTCCTTCCCTCTTGCCACACCAGGACAGTGTCCCCCCTGCTTCTGCCAGAGCTACTACCCCTTCCTTTTCTTTTGTACAGACCGAGCCCTTCCATCCCCCGGAGCAGGCCTCGTCAACGCAGCAGGACCAGGGCCTCCTGAACCGGCCGTCTGCCTTCAGTACAGTCCAGAGCAGCACAGCCGGCAACACGCTCCGCAACCTCAGTCTGGGTCCCACCCGTCGTTCTTTGGGAGGCCCTCTATCTAGCCACCCTTCTAGGTATCATCGAGAAATAGCCCCTGGACTGACAGGATCTGAGTGGACCCGGACAGTACTCAGTCTGAACTCTCGCTCTGAGGCGGAATCCATGCCCCCACCCAGGACCAGCGCCTCTTCGGTGAGTTTGCTGTCGGTGCTGAGACAGCAGGAAGGTGGCTCTCAGGCATCTGTGTACACTTCGGCCACAGAAGGGAGGGGTTTTCCAGCATCAGGGTTGGCAACTGAGTCAGATGGAGGGAATGGCTCCAGCCAAAACAACTCAGGCAGCATTCGCCATGAGCTTCAGTGTGACCTGAGACGCTTCTTTTTGGAGTATGACCGGCTTCAGGAGCTGGATCAGAGCCTGAGTGGGGAAGCTTCCCAGAGCCAACAGGCCCAGGAAATGCTCAACAATAACATCGAATCTGAAAGGCCAGGCCCTTCCCACCAGCCCACCCCTCACAGCAGTGAGAACAACTCCAATCTGTCCCGTGGCCACCTGAATCGCTGCCGTGCTTGTCACAATCTCCTGACCTTCAACAATGATACCTTGCGCTGGGAAAGAACCACACCTAACTACTCCTCTGGTGAGGCTAGCTCCTCCTGGCAGGTCCCCAGTACCTTTGAGGGTATGCCATCAAGCGGCAGCCAGTTGCCACCTCTCGAGCGGACTGAGGGCCAAACGCCCAGCTCCAGCAGGCTGGAGTTGAGCAGCTCTGCTAGCCCACAGGAGGAGAGGACTGTGGGGGTGGCCTTTAACCAAGACACAGGCCACTGGGAAAGAATTTACACCCAGTCCAGCAGATCTGGAACTGTATCACAGGAAGCCTTACATCAGGATATGCCTGAGGAAAGCTCTGAGGAAGATTCACTCAGGAGGTAAGCAGTTGCTTTCCTATCTTCTGTGTCTGTTGCTTTTCTGCTTAAATCTCTTCCTTTAGTCCTATAGATATTATGGCTGTATCTGGAGTATCTGGGACCCACGCATCTGGTTCTGATCTCCCCATTGCATTTTCTTGGAAAATCTTGCTCTGGTGGCAGAGATAGGCTAGGGCTAGCAGTATGAGTCAGTTGGCTTTGCTAGCTCTATTTCTGGCTAAGCCCAAGGCTCTGGCTCTAGCCTTGAAAGAAGAGTGTAGATTAGGTTAGAGGAGCACGAGGAAATAGAACCATTGACTTTCTCTGCCCTGCTTTTTTACCTTCTTGAAGGATAGTATCTGCAGGACAAGTTACTGTGAGACAAGAAAATGTCACAGAGTGCCTAGGAATAAGTAAAAGAGAACCCTGCTTGGTGCAGATTATTATGTTGACTTTGCCGATTGTGTTGCTGGTTTGGGCAACCGTATTCACCTTTTAATCCTTATCTTTTGGAACACTGCAGGTTGACCCCCCGCCCCCCAAAAAATATATATGTACGTGTATGTTAAGGAAAGTTCCAATTATTTTATTTTAGAGATATATGTTGTTTTTGGACAGCACATTAGTTGCTCAGTAAAGATTCTTTGAATGGCCTTCTAGATGGACATTCACCTTGGGGTGGGGAAGAAGAACAATTTGTGGAAGGAAGGCTTCTCCATACTCGGATTGGCATCCCAGCCAGCTCTTTCATGGAAGAAACAGAGTAGGTGTAGTTGATCGCCCACCTCATGTTCCGTGTATGGCTATGTGTGCATCTATCTTGATTTATTAGGGACTTCTTTCTATAATTTTGTAAAGGTCAAATCTAGCGTAATCACCAACTCCCAGAATATGCCTGTTGGATCCAAACAGCATATTGCTCTGCATTACATCCTCTGTTGAAGCAACTGAAATTTCTCTGACATAAGCTTCTAACAAGGGTGGGAATTTGGATTGTGCACATAATGTACTTCTTATTTTGGGAGGATGCTTTAGACAGTCACTCAGTCAATAAGTGTTAGTTGAATGGTTACAGTTTTTTCAGCACTGTGCTAGGCACTATGGAGAATACAAAAGAAGTGTCTTTGCCCACTGGAGTGTACAGTGTTAGTGTTGAGGGAAGACTGACTTACGTGAAGTTTATCAAAAGTATAGATGATCCTTGTATGGTACAGGGATTTAATGTAGTCTAATTTCAAAGAAAGGGAAATGTCATCAAGGAAGGCTTTACAAAATCAAGTCATGAAAGATGGGTAGGATTTAGAGAAGGAAGGGCCTTTTTATCGTAGAGGAATAGAACATAGTAAGGGAGGAAAGGGTATGGTGTATGTAGGGTAGTACGCAGTTACTGGGAGCTAGGGATAGGGAACGGAGGGAGACTTGGCTGGATGTGAAAGGTTAAAGTAGAGAGGTTGTTACTATGTCCATATGTTTGAGACCAGCTGTGGATTAACAGCTCCTAAATTCCTGGTTTTGTAGTATCTTGTCTCACTTAATGGCCCACATCAGGAACCTGGGACTCTGTTCTTCCTCTTTGTCAAGAGAGGTGAAAAGGCAACCAGCACAGTGCCTGACATGTAATACGTTCTTAAAAAGGTCATTAAAGCTAGCCATAAAAGGACTGACTTCAGTTACTGCTCTAAGAATCCTAGCTGCTCCTGTTTCTGTAGTGCCAGCAGGCTTCTGGTCAGCTTTTGTCCATCTTGCTCTAGCAGTACCTCTTCATTTGCTGTTCTTCTGAGAAAATACCTGAGTGGTTTAAAAATAAACTCTACTGTTTGATGATAGAGATACCAGTTAATGAGGGCTTACTATGTATTAGGTACTGTGTTCTTGCTTTGACGTAATCATTTCTAATTTCCACAACTCTGTGCAAGGCGGGTATTAGTATTAAATTTCCCATCTTATAGTTGAGGAAAGTGAGGCTCAGAGAAGTCAGAGTTTCTTATTAAAGGTCACATAGTAGGTCTCTGAGAATTTGAACTCTCATCTTCATGACTAAAGATTTGTCCAAGCTGCCCTTAATGGTATATTCCTTAATATAACTTCATTTTTAAGTGAACCAATCTTATTTATTTTTCCTTTCTTTTAACTTTTTATTATCTTTTATTTAAAGATTTATAAATCTTTAAATATATATAAAAATGAAGAGAAAATATAATAAATGAACTCCAATAAACCTATTACCTGACTTCAGAAATTATCAATGCTTGGCCAGCTGTCTTTCATCTGTATCCCTCATCCTTTCCCCCAAACCTAGAAATCCAATAATTTTGTCTGTAAATACTTTCACTATGTTTCTCTAGAGCAATGCTGTCTAATAAAACTTTCTACACTGATGGAAATGTTCTATATGTATGCTATCCTGTATGATAGACATTAGCCACATGTGGCTTTTGAGCACTTGAAACGCTGCCAGTATGATCTGAGGAACTAAATTTAATATTTAAAATTTTAATTAATTTCAGTGTAAATAACTACATGTGATTAGTGGCTACCGTATTGTACACCTAAAATATTAATAATCACTTGTTAATAATATAGGCCATTTAAGATCTGCAGACTATTAAGGATCTAGCAGAAATTTTTGTTTAAATCTTTTTTTTCTCCCAGTGACAAAAAGTAGTATGTGTTGTGGTTTAAAGTTCAAGCATTTAAACCTGGGATGGTGGCTCATGCCTTTAATCCTAGCACTCTGGGAGGCTGAGGCAGGAGGATCACTTGAGATCAGGAGTTTGAGACCAGCCTGAGCAAGAGCAAGACCCTGTCTCTACTAAAAATAGAAAAAACTAGGTGGGCATGGTGGCACATGCTTGCAGTCCCAGCTACTCTACTTGGGAGGCTGAGGCAATAAGATTGCTTGAGCCCAGGAGTTTGAGGTTGCTATGAGCTAGGCTGATGCCATGGTACTCTAGCCTGGACAATAGAGTGAGACTCTGTCTCAAAAAAATAAATAAATAAAATAAAGTTCAAGCATTTAAAAATGGTATATTGTAGAAAATAAAGTCCCTTGGTATCTTGCTATAAATAATTTTATATTTATGCTTTCTTTTGAAATGTGCAAATAATACAGGATTCTCATTGTAAAATAACATATTAATTCAGTAGTTACATTATTTATAGAGTAACAT